CATGTGTGTAATGTTTCATACAAAGCTACATGGATTGCTTAAAATAAATGTGTTCTTCATTCATAGTAGTAAGTGCAACCATCATTAAGCCATAAGACAGCATTGTAAGGGATCTGTCTAATGTGGCCATGTGTGTAATGTTTCATACAAAGCTACATGGATTGCTTAAAATAAATGTGTTCTTCATTCATAGTAGTAAGTGAAACCATCATTAAGCCATAAGACAGCATAGTAAGGGATCTGTATAAGGTGGCCATGTGTGTAATGTTTCATACAAAGCTACATGGATTGCTTAAAATAAATGTGTTCTTCATTCATAGTAGTAAGTGCATCCATCATTAAGCCATAAGACAGCACAAACTGCATCTCTAACCAGATGGCCTTTTCTAAGAAAACATCAGGTTGCAGACTGTGCTAATAATGACATTAATCTTACACTGCTTGCTGAGCTTTTAATTTTTCATAGGTTGAATCAAAATGTAGTTTTCAAAACTTGAGTTGTTGAAGAAGCTATGAATCTTGTGCATTGACTGACAATATATTGCACTCATAAGAGAAATATGGTGAACTATTCAACTAACTACAGCCTAACATATGTCCATACACAAAGTAACTTTACCAAAGATGCATTGCTCTCAACAATTCTGATACTGAGTGATGCATAAACCAAAGTCAACATGTGGCAGTGAGTCAGAGTCTGACCCCAGGAATTAGAACCTAGGCAATAACAACTACATCCAGAGATGACACAGGATAAGCCCATATTTGCTGCATCATCAGTCATGTATCTTTATTATAAATAACCTCGTGATTGCCTGTGTTTTCATTATTATCATTGCGTTTTAAGTGTACTTGTATCTTCCATTTTTGATATGTAGTACATGAATTTTTTTTAATTTTGTTTTTTCAGTTGGTAATATGTTAAAAATTTACATTCAGTTTTTAACTTTGTAACTGACCAGACCTCTTTCAATTTTTTTAATGCATTTGATACTTCATTTAGCTTAATATTTTATAGTAACTTTTTTGTAACTTACACTAACTTGTGCATTTTATTTCATTATGGTTTTATTCTATGTTTTTTAACTGGTTGTTGGAATTTATATTAATCTCTGTTTTTTCATGTAGGTATCATGGTGTCTTGCACGTCACTTGAGGAAAACAATTATGACATTTTTTTTACCTTAATTTGGAACAAGGAATCCCCTGGAATAAGGAAGGAGGGAACTGTGATGATTGTAAATTTACCCTTCCATAACTAGTACAGAATATATCTTTATTAAGGTATGTATTCAAGGAATATTTTTCTAAACTTCCATGCAATTTCTGCATATAGTTGATCATATTCTTCTTAAATGGATGTTGAAAGGTTGTAAACATATACTAATCACTTAACTCAGGCAAGTTTACATATGTCAACAATTATCAAATTCAGACCTCCTGCTTAAAACCCTTGTGTATGGACTGTCCCATCTCAAGAGGTATTTCAGATACTTGTAGAGATTGATATGACTTAGGGGATTTCATCCCTATAAATGTTGTTTGTAATAATATGTGACATGTGTAGCTGTGTTTTCTGATACACTGCACTTTTTATGTTTCGTCTCTATTTAGCTGGTAAATAAGAATTAGTTTTATCCTTGTCTGGTGTGGATATTTTAAAGAAAGACTCCTTTCAACCAGAGCAGCGAGTTATGGTAACAACAGAAAACCATCGTATGTGAAATACTTCACAGCACAATAATTATGAATAAAGATTTTGTTCACTTGAATTTGTGTTTTTCATTCTTTTTTGTCTAAGTTCAAAATTGCTCTTTGCAATACAGTACCTGAATCTGCATTATGTGGATACTTTAACTTTTCTGCTGGACATCAATGAACCTGCATAAATACCACAAGTAAAGAAGAGGTATAAACATAGTAGGCCATTACTGGCCTATGAGAGTTTGGTGATAGGGACCATAATCATTTGAAGATACATTTATTCTGCATAGAGAAACCTTTTATGCAAAATTATGGAGAGTGGATGAAATGAAATGGAAGTGGAAAAATGAGGTATATTTCTTGGTACAAACTACAAATCACTGGATTAGGGTTACAGAAAAAGTAGAGCACAATTCTTGACAGAACTCTTTTAATATACTAAGCATTTCACTTATTATCTAGTCATCACCAGTTTCATTTACAAGCTTAGTTATGTAGCCTAAAAGTTACAAAACAGGCTCTCATTTGAGGAATTACAATCAAATTATAGTCCTAACATTTTAATTAAATCAAAAGAAAAATAATCAAGCTATTTACTCAAACAGTCTCTCTTTCAAACCTATCTACCATAACGGATAATTCTAATAAAATGCCAGTGCATAATGATACCTGATATTTTTGACCGAGGTTGACATCTTTTTTCTGGTCCCAGATATACCATCTCCTCACTGTCAATCATTGGCTGTGACATGACTAGCAATACCTAAATAAATATATATTATATATAAACATAGTTGGAGATCAAATAAGGTGACAGATGCTCTTTCACTTGGCTATGTTTCAATAATTGGACTCACCACTTCTTTTAAATTATCAACACTGCTTGTTCAATACATAAAATAGTGAAAAAACTACTACAACAGTTGATTGTAGATATTTACTAATAGAAAGAAATATTACAATATACTATTATTTCAAATGTGAAATTAGTATTTTAAGACATCTGACCAAAATTTAAAGTTTATGTACTTGTGTAAATGGTAAAATTTAACTGTATTATTAATTGCCATTGTATTTTACAATGAAATTTAAGAAGTATAAAGTAACCTATTAAACTATCATTTGTTCTCTACATTTTAAACAGTATTAAACATATAGCCAATGAGTTTACAAATATGAATATATGTATAAACATGTGATGTAGAATAGTTGTTGACTAGAGGATACCTACCTAATGCCCACAAAATAGACGTAACCATATTAACACATTTATAAACTAGAGTTTTTCCCTTTCTGTAAAACAGCTAGACTTTCTGTAACACTCCTATATAACAACAGATTGACTGAAGACATATATAAGCATAAATTTCATCAATGGTTATTAGTTTATCACCCCCTATCTCAGTGATTATTGACACATAGCTTCATTACCTATGAAAAACAAATGGACATGAAGGAAGAGAAAGGGAATAGCAAACTATGAAGGGGAGCTTATATATTTTTATGAATTGTGTGTAAAGCTACTCAAGGGCTACCTACATTAGTTGTCCTAATTATAGATGAGAGGAACTACCAACTTTAGGACTACTCTTCATCAACAAAAGTGGGATTGACCATCACACTATAACACTGCCACGACTATAAGTGCAAGTATTTTCATTGACAGGATTCAAACTCACGAGCCATAGCATCCTAACCACCAGATTATGCCAGGTCAAAAGAATAAGCAAGAGATGAAGAAGAGCAGATTGAAGGTAAAAAGAATTAAAATAGGACAAAAAAAATCCCCAAGTTGGGAAAAGTGATTCAGGGGACAGAAACACAATAAAAGAAGTTTGACCACACAAAGTTCAAAGTGATTCAGGGGACAGAAACACAATAAAAGAAGTTTGACCACACAAAGTTCAAAGTGTTCAGGGGACAGAAACACAATAAAAGAAGTTTGACCACACAAAGTTCAAAGTGATTCAGGGGACAGAAACACAATAAAAGAAGTTTGACCACACAAAGTTTAAAGAGGATGTGTTAAGTAAGATTCAACACGAAAAACAGACTGAAAGAACCTGCAATAACGAACAAACAAGTGAGACAGGAAAAGGGGATAAAGACATCTTATGAGTTGAAGTGTATGCAAAAACCTCACCTGAAAACCAGAGTAATAATTGTAAAACATTTTTTCATAAATGTACATTAAAATTTTCAGATTTACAAAGTTTACAGGATATTTAAAAATATTATTAAAAAGTATTAATCAACAGTAATTTTAACTACATCAACATTTGGTTCAGTGCTGCCTTCTATATGCAAAAATGTTTTTGCAAGCCACAAGCCTTGAACACCCACATATCCCACGATCAACATGGTTCAACTGTGCCTCACATGTAAATCATCATGCTACAACCCTCCACCAATAGAAGTGTGACACATCCTCCTGATGCATGTCACTCCCTCTATTTGATTCTACTGAACTATTACTGTGAGATTAGGCAGAAAAGAAAAGCACCAGTTATCAGTGGAAAAAAAGGATGGGAAGTGTGAATGCAGGTTAGTACCTATCAAAAAATTAATTTTCAGTATAGAAAAATAACTTCCACTACAGTCCATTACCTCTTCTCACATGTATAGCTAGAATCCCACGTTGAATAGATGGAGGGACTGGTGCGAGGGATAGAAATAAGTATCCTTCAAAAGCTTCCAAAGAATATCCATGAAGTGTGATCCCCGTTGGGAGAGAAACACATGTGGAAGACCATACCACTTCTGTACCAGGTATATTCTGCAGTCAGAGTGAAAATAGGTGGAAAGGGAGAGAAAATTCAGGTGGGTTCAAATCCGAATCACAATATACCGGAATCTCAATCCCAGTGATAAAAGACTGTAGAAGAATCATCTCCACACAGTTATGTGGGGAAAGCTAAAATGGATGTGCTCCAAGGTGTAGAATGGCTAGGGTGCGACAAACCCTAGATGGCTGGTCAACTCCAGTTGAAAACCAAGCAGCATCATGATTACTACTTCTGACCCGTGGGAGGAAGAGGGTCCACACTGTTTTCATCTCAAGTTAAGTAGAATGAAATTATATATAGATCAAACCGATCTACTAAATGGGGCAAATCCACAACCACCCATACTTCCAGGAATCCAAAATATGAATGATGGCACGAGGGAGTGTGCCAATGTGGTGGTTCACATCAAACCAAATTCAACCTGACTGGAACCCCTCAACACAACAGCAGCCTCAGACAGAGGAAAACTCTGATGTGGAGCACTAGAGGGAGAACCTTTGCCCCATACAATGTCACCTCCAGTTAGGACCACAAAGAAGTTAGAGTGCATGTGTGTGCATAACATCAAACTCCAGTACCCACTGCACAGAGGTGGAGAATATGAGGCAAAACTATGAAATTCGATTGAGGATGATGAATCACAAGCAACATACGTGTGAGGATTTAGGTTGATTGGTCCAGCTATAATCAATACCACTCACTACAAACTGACATCCAGGTGATGGTAGGATGAGAGGTAAACTGCAATGTGACAGATCTACTCCATAGCAACATCATCCTCTGAAGAGGATCACATAAAAGTTGAAGCACAATATCAACTTTCAGGTCCCATCACATGGAAGTGGATCACTTCTGTAATTATACACAATCTCACCTCCAGATAGAACCACACAGAAGACGGGTGCAGCATAAACCTCTGGGACCCACTGCATAGAGGTGAAGCATATGCATTTAAAAATATGTACAACATCATCCCCTGATAGAACGGCACAGATGTTGGAGCACAATGCTAACTTCTGGGTTTCACCACATTGAAGTGGATTGCCTCTACAAAATATATGAAATCTTACCTTCTGGATAAAACTGCACAGTAGCTGGGTGAAACATCAACAGTTTGGAGCCCACCATACAGAGGACCACACACCATCTACACCAGCAGAACACCACCACTCTATTCTCTAATGAATGGAAGTGATCACATTCAGGAGGATACCTCCATGGTCCACCAACCCAGCAGCTCCACACTTGAAAGTGGCAAGGACTCCCATACTCCACTAGAAGAACAAGGGGGGGGGGATAAAATGTGATGGAGAGTCTAGAGGAATGCCAACACCATAGACAGTGCAAAGGGTGACCACAAAAACCCTATATTGAAGAGCAGACTGCCTTGATTTATTCAATCGAAGAGATGGCAGGGATGGGCAACTATCCCTTTCTGCTTTACCAATGTAAATCCATGAATTATATTACAAGGAAAAACCTACTAAGATCTTGTGGAAAACACCACCTCAACAGTTTGAATTATTGGCCATGGGTATTTTGTGTTTTATTATTTCATGTAAGCCGACCAGTGGGATCCAGTGGGTGCATGTGGACTACTTTAACAATGCAGTCATTTATGACCTCATAGAAAAGGTACCATTTCCATATAAAAGCAGAAACCATTGTGTTGGTATTTACAAAGCTTATAAATCATTGTTTGCCTACCTATTATTATATTACCATAATGTTCTTGTTTACTCAACTACCAAAAAATATAGGAAGCATACCTGGACAAGCAACACTTGCCAATGAGTGGGATCTGAATCCTAAATGAGACATACCCCTGGAGGGAAAAATATATAGAGAGAACATAATTTACCAAGTCACAGTTGCACCGAAGTTTGAAGGATGGCAACAGGCAGAAGCTGGAACCTTAACGAGTTAGAAACAGCTACCCAATGAAGATAGTGTGAGATGAACACCCATCCTCAAATGAGAAATGAAATGCTCAGCATGAACCCTGATGTCAGGGGAAGGAGGGAAACAAGTGGCCCTGATGACAGGTGTCATAGTAAAAAAAAAAAGGGGGGGAAGGAACAATGTTATATGAAAATGGTGAAAACGAGAAAATGGAACACATCTGAAAAAGCATATCTAAAAAGGCACAGTTAGTAGATCTCGTAGGAGATGCATGAGAAGGCACAGCATAATTAGGAGGAGAAAAAAACTTTCAAAATCCTTCTAGTCATGAACAGGTTTGGACACTGTCAGGAGAAAAAGGATGTCTCATATAACAATTAATCTTCCAATGAATGATAGCTGAAAAATCTTAAGTTGAACCTCCAGACCTGAAGCCAGTAATGGCACTTGAAGTAGCAGTAATAATATCAGAAGTTGTAAAACAATCTTCAAAATTCACCTTAAAGCATGAAGAAGCTGAAGCTGAGAAAAAAAAATCAATAAACAAAGATAAGTTATTGTGGCAAACTACTACAGAAAAAACTAACTGTAGCAAATGAATAAATCAAGTAAATCACTACTTCACAAAAAAAAATGAAATGAACATGAAAAAAAGCACAGCTGAAAACATCTGCACTCAATCACTGCCTAATGAGAAGTGATAGTTTGGTACAATCGAATAGAGGTCACATGCATCAGAAGAGTGTGTCACACTCCTATTGGTGGAGGGTTGTCACATAATGATTTACACGTGAGACATAGCTGAACCACACTGAGCATGGGGTACGTGGGAGTTCAAGACTTGTGGCATGCAAAAAATTTTTTGCATATAGAGGGCAGCAGTGAACGAGAATAGCTATACATACGAGCAGAGGTAATGTATTGTATTAGAAAATAATAATTTAAGTCCAGAAGGCTTTTCTATGCCTATATCACAAGCCAATATTGCAAATCCAACACAAAAAAATCATAAAAGCTGATAGATATCAAATGGGCCATACTTGAAATTAATGATGTACCCCATATGAATCAAAAA